TTTCCCTACGTTTTACCTAGGGAAACGTGATCCTGAGGATAAAATAGATGACCAGGATGAAACCAAATTTACAAAACTGAATTCTGTAACTAAAACTACTGTTTCTGATGCTTCAGCCAGCCCAGAAAGTGAGAAACACGTTTTTTCATTTGCCTTTGGCAATTCAGAAAGAGATTGCTTCGCAGTATCTGGAGCCAGCAATTCATTTAAGGCTTTACCATTATCCTCATGTTTTAACCAATCAGAGAAGCCATCTGACCAGAATGCAACATGTCACATGGGAGAAAATGCAGTTTCTCCCAACAAAGCTGTGGAACATTGTATGCTAAATCAATCTGTCACATTGGAACAACCTGCTAATACCTCAGAATCAATCACTACTCTAGCTTATAGTACTTCAGAAACCAGCACTGCAGCTGGGGTGAATGATGTTTCTGAGAACCCCCTCCACCACAGCAATTATGTTTTTCCCTTTGCACATAACTGTTTTCAGCTGCCTTCACCAGTGTTTTCATTTGGAAGTATTGTCAAAAGTACCTCTGATTCACTGACTTCCTCCTCAGTGCTTTTCTCTAGAAGCGGTACTAAAAAACCTGAAAAAAAGAAAACAGAATCTCATGACAAAACACTCCTAAATCTAGAAAAATCGGTGTCTCCAGAACGTACAGAGCTTGTTTCTAAACATAATCGTCCAAAACATGCAGATTCTTTCTTTCCCATGAACTCTTCTAAGAAGGTTGAAAATGAAAAAGCAGTTGCTGATAGTAATTCTTCTTTTAGTCAGTCTTTGTGTTCAGCTGCTGTTCCTGTTAAAGAAGAGACTGCTTCTTTCACTCAGCTTACTACATCAACAAAACAAGAAATAAAGGTAAAAGATGAAGAAAGTAGACTTGTTGTTGAAAACAACTGTTCCTGTGCTAGGAAGGAAGATGAACCTGAGTCTGTACTGCTTCAGAATGAAGCCTGTTCTGTTCCTGACACCTGCAGTGATACACTTTCAGGAGGCTCTACGCTTACTGTAAAAGAGGCAAGAGGAATACCAAGTGACACTGATTCTGATGCTGAAGAACTAAGTCAAACGTCAGTCTCTAGTAATAACAGCAGTGCATCAGAATATTTTTCTGTTGCAGAAGACAAAATATCTGCTAGAGGAAAACCAGAGACATGAATAGAGTGAAATGGAAGATAACTATGATTAAATGATCTGGAATTAAATAAACACTAAATAACATTAAAAAGTGGGGATACTGTGTCGTTTTACAGCTGTTATTCTCCATGATTTTTGCCAGTTGAGGTATATTTGTGCTAGAAACATAACTGTCAACAACTACAATTCAGTAGAGTAAAATATTGTTAGGGTACAAACCCAAACTGAAGAAACAACTGAAAATACCATGTGTTAGTAAGGACATACCACATACTTAAGAACGCAGACCTTCCAAGAAGTGCCATCAGGGTATGTGAAAGGGTGTTGTGGGGACTGAGGTATCCCAGAAGGTGGGATTAGTGAAGCCTTTGCACCAGAAAGCAGTATCCTGCTGTTCTAGCACAACAGCACTGTGCTAGGGGTCAAGTCAGTGAGAGAGCGTTGACAGTAACATCTACCTGGGAAGCAGGGGATGAGAAGACCCAGGACAAAATAGCTTGAAGAAGGACACTGAAGGACACTATCTACTGAAAATTGTTTTGTTTCATCTCCCTTTGGCTATGTTCTGTTTCTGTGCTGTACTTCATGTATACTGAAGGTCCAATTTCTGATATTACCTATTTCAATAATGTCTTTTAAGCATTTGAAACTGAAGCACTATTATATAGTTCCTGTTATATATGAGGGACAGATATTGGCTCAGCTTACAAAATGCTACCTTTATGAAAAGTAACTGTTAAACGGTGAATTTTCAGTGTCCTTTTGGCAGCAATTGGGGTATTAGTGGACAGATATTAACTTATTTGATGAAAGCATTAGGAGAATATGGACGTTAACATAGCCAGATCTCCATAAAAAGTTATGTGTAATGATAGGAAAAGAGCAAAACAGTACTTCTGACCTTGAGTGTTAAGGATGCAAAACTCATCAAATTTTTTTAGTTTGTGAAATATGTGAGGATAAAAATGTCATTCTTTCTGATTTGTGAACTGTTTTGTTGCATTCTGAAAGAGAATTGTTCCTTAGCTATTAGAATATGTGCATGGTAGTCCTATTTCAGACTAAAGCTCCATCTTATGTGGCGCTCAGTCTCCAGTAAGAGCTAGTTCCAGATTTTAAATAAACAAATCCTACATTAGGCAAATATGTCAACCTGGTAAGTATTAGACCATGAATCCTGAAGCATGAAATCTAATACCCCTTCAGAATTTTTCACTGGTAGCTAGGTACTTCTCACACTTTTAAAAGTCATTTGGAATCCTTTTTTTAACTCAATAAGAGAAATACCACTTAAATTTAAATCTCTGCAAGGCTTACACCTATACTTACTCTGATGGAATACTTTAGAAATACTATCCCTAGTTTAGGGAACATTGATCTAATTGGGTTTGTGCTAAATTCTTGCACTCAGTTTCTCTGTGGCAGTGCATTCCTTCATTAAATGTGCTAGAAAAACCAGTTTCTGGAACTTACAAAACTCACTAATCTTCCTTTTGTGTCTTGTTGTTATAGTAAGGAAGACAGCAAACATTCTTTCTTTAGTCTTACTGTATTTCAGTTTTGTCCTAAGAATTGTTTTACTCCAAATATTAACATCGCGTCTCTTTGGTTGTGTAGGAGAGAAGTCTTAAAAAGGTACCAAGTTACCAGAAGACAGAGGCTGAGTGCAGTGCTAAAGGCAGAGACCTCCATGGAAGGAGGTTGATCTCACTGTAATGAAAATGGGAGAAACAGAACAGTTTTAGAAAGACAAGATGAGGCCCCCAAAAAATTGCTGCAGAACTTTGTAGTACAGAAGATGTTTTCTGCTGCAATGACAAAAAGATCAGAATATTGGGTATTGTGTTTGCTTCCACAGCAGGAAAAAACATCCATGCGGAATAGTTTATTTGGAAACCCTAATGAGTTTCTCAAAACTACTTACATTTCACATCTCCTGTCTTCGCTGGGTCCACTTCTGATGTTTTCTGAGAGTTTGATAAACTTTAAAGTAGATATTTTGCCCTTTAGTGAAAAGACCGTGCTATAAAATCATAAGACAAATAAACAAGATAACATGTTATTTTTTACAGCAGAAATTGTTTGTGCGTGTGTTCAATATAGACCTGGGACTGCTTTTCAAGTGTGGCAAATTGTAATCTGTGTATACTTAGGTGACAGAGATCATAGCTCAAGGTGAAGCTTTTACAGTGGAAAGATAAACAGTAAGCAGGGCACTTAAATTGCAATACATCACAGTAAAATTACAGTCCGCTGAGATACCAAGAAATTGAAAATTCTATTAATGTTATTTCATTTGTTAAACTATGACTTCTTAGTAGAAGTGATGGAGTGCTTTTCTGTATACATTATTAAAAGTTAAATATTGATCTTACCAGTGTTGAAGAAACATTACATTTTTCAGCATAAACAAAATCAGTATTGTGGTACACCTAACTAGTTTGTTCTTCACCCAAGATCTTTTCCTATGACAAAGAATTAGTAACTTGGTAGCAAAACTTGAAGTACCTATTGTATTCTGAGCACAGATCCAATCTTGATTTGGGAGGTGAAGTTCATGGTTTGGAGGATAAATCTTAATGCATATAAGCATAAAACAAATCTAAGGTATTTTAAGTAATGAGATGACAGATCAGCGTAATTACGGGATGACTTGGCAGTGAAAAAGAAAATGGAACATTAAATCTAAAAATGGTTTTTTGAGTATATTTTATTACTGGAAAAGGACAGGGCCAACCTCTTAAATTTTTATATTTGGAAAACTGAAAAAAACACTTTAATTAACCGGTGAAATAACTGAGTTAAATTTCTGACCTTATTCCTAGGTGAATGAATGTGTGTGCGTGTGTGATGTAGCTAAAAAGAGATTATTCCATTTACACTGAGCATGGAAGGGTCTAAATTAGGTCACTTCACCTCCAGTTGAGGGACTGTTGTGCAAGATCTGGCTACATGTGCTATGACTGCCAGGCAGTAAAGAATAACTCAAGTAAATTTTCTTTTCCAAGACGAGTTAAAGCATTATCGTCTTGTCATTATGCCCTATTTCTGCTGTAATTATGTTTCTCACAGCTTAAACTGTGGAAGGAAAAAAGAGTTTAGTCACTTAACGGTAGCTCAGGAACACCACCTGACTAAACGCTGTCTAAAGAAACCTCAAGTCCAAATCGGTGGTCAGTTGTGAACGCCACAGAATATGTGAAGAAACAAGGTTGTGAATTGTCCCTAATGCACATTTTGCCTATTAGCAGTAGAAAATGATTTCTGTCATTTTCTTGGTCATCACTATAAAATCGTGTGTTGCAGTAAGGGCTGCTATCAAAGCTTAAGTTTTCCAAGGTTATCTGTCGGGGTGTCTGTGTGTATGCTAGGCTACAGGTAGATTAAAATGTATGGTTAAACCAAAGAATTTTCACAGATGTATGAAAACAGTGGTGTGGAAACTTGTTTTTGTGAAGTTAAGGATACAGGAAACACTTTACTCAACTGAATAGTTTTTGTATTACAGTGAACCTGTTGACCAGTACTGCAAGATCCCCCTGTATGCTTCCCTTCTAACCCTTAAAGGTACAGTAGGTAAAAAGACAATTTGACACATGGCTGAAACACTCATCAAACTTTTATTATACTGATAATCATTTTTTATACTTAAAATTTTTGTGGTCTAAGAGCTTTCATAAAGGCTTATGATAGTACAAAATCTGCTTTATAACACCATACAAACCTTGGAGAACCACTAGAAAATTAATTTGATTACAACTGCCAAAGTAACTGCTGAACACAATGAGCTGAGCGGTTTCAGTGTTATCCTGATGACAACTGATAGGAGCAGCTCCTCAGAACTGTGAGGTTTGTTTGGTATATTTCTGAAAGCTACCTTAACATATATATCACTGCTTGAAAAAAGCATTTGAGATTGAAAAATACATGCAATTACCTCGTTCTGCATTATACTAAAAATGATTATTTGACAATAAAACATTAAAATTTCAACATATAAAGGTTAAAATTTTCTAAGACAAACCTTGTATTTACTAGTGTCGGGTATTATGGTTTATTATGAAATACATTTGAGAACTCAGACCTAGTCACTTCTTCATTTGAAAGGCAGCTGATCTGCCTGGAAGGAGTATTGTATACTTCTGTTTCTACAGGTAATCACTCTCCTGATATCCAGACTAGCCATAAGGTTCAGACTGCATGCAGTTTCTTTTCGTAGTTTTCAGCCAGTTTTTGAAATGCCAATAGAACATTGTCATTTGGATTGTCACACAGTTCACTCAGTGATGTTCTGTTTATTTAAAAAAAAAAAAAGCATTTTAAGTGGTTTTAAAGATGCATAATATACTTTCAGTATTAAAAAGTACACGTTTTTCATACCTTATAGACTTAATGAGGAGTAAAAAATCCTTGAGGTGGTAGTAAGCATCTCCTTCATTTAACCTAAAAAAAGCAAATCCAAATGAATGTGCAGTATACCATACTGTTTCACCTTTAATAACCCCTGCCACTTAAGTCAGGTGAGCATAAAGAGGGTATACAGTGGCATCACACATTGTTATACTAGTTCATTAGGATTACTATAGAATAACTGCAAGCTTAAAGTCTAGTTAATAGTGCTCCAGAGATGCATATTTCCGAAAGACTCAAATCATATTTGGAAAACGTCAAAGCAATTTAACTTATTAACATTGTTTTGGGAGCAAAGCGTCAACTGCTTGAATAACTGAAGCATCCCAGTCTAGACCGGAAGACTATAATTTAGATTACTCTGCTGGCTAAATTCAGTAGGAAATAGTGTCAACCATGTTACCTACCTATAGATGACTAAGCTTCTATATCCTGCAAAGAGGATTCCCCTTATTACTAGAAACTGAAACTCATGAAGTTGTGTTTCAGTAATTAAGAATATTACAAATTTTTAATAAGTTCACAGCCAATATTGTACTGAAAATAATTACCATCAGTATACTTTGTTCCTTGATAATGTGTGTCAGACTGTGTTAACTAAAAATGTTCCCTGGAAAGTGTATTCCAGTGGTTCTTATCAGATCCTCCTTTGAAGATTTGCAAAAAAAAGCAGGTGTGATGCTGCCCCCTCCTTCAGACAGTAGTGTGAATTGGTGTTTTTCTTATCCAAACATGAAGGTTGACTGGATTGGCTATGAGCGTGAAGGCAAAACAAAGATACTTGACAGTGTAGTTGAGGGAGGGACCTTGTGGTTGGACTTCACTGAGACTTCACTGAGGTGAGGTTGGGGATAAAACAGGTACCTGACTGGCTTGATTAAAAAGGGCAAGATGGAAGATTTGTACAGAAAATGAAATAGATTTAATGTAAAGATTAGGGAAACCTAGTGAGGGCAGTCCAAGGGGAAAGTGATGACGATAAACATAAAAACACTTTCGGCAGTCTTTAAAAGATCGAGGAGGATAATAGGGTTGTAAATGTTAGGTGTGTCCCCCCCCCCCCAAAAAAAAAAAAAACTCATCATACAGGTTTTACGGAAGAATGATGAAGTTTATAAATGGCCCAATTACAAAGGTAAAGAGCGTCAACAAAAAAATTTGTTTGGAGCGGCATCAAGTGCAAGAGTTTGACAGGCTCTTTGAATTTTTTTATTTAATTAAGGTTTTTCACAATGAAAAAGATCAGGAAAGTCTCTGAAATGAGGACGTTCAATGTAGTAATAGAGAAGACTGTAGCATGTAACAGATGTTGAAAGCTTGGTAAAATAATGAAGACAAAAACAGATTTAAAAATATATTGTGAAAGAAATAATAATCAGTGTTAAAAGCAACAGGCAGGAGAGAGTAGATGGAAAAAAAAAAGATTGAAAACTACAAGTTGGGAAAAGTCAGTAAAAGTGATGCAGGAGGAAACAGGAGAGGAAACTCACATGTAATATAGGCCTAAAATAAAAGTATGATGAGATGTGGTGGTGATTGACCAGCCTGGGGCACCAAGAGTTTTTAGTGTGGGGTTCTTGGTTTGTTTTTTCTTTTTTCAAAGCTTTGCTTTGCTACAAAGAAAGTCAGATTTCTAAGATCACAGTCTTCCTGTACAAGAAGACAGTTTGTGCTTTTGATGCAGGAAACAATAAGAAGTCATTTGAGATCATGCAACAAGTTGGTCAAAATAACTAGTGTCATCAAAATCACAATGTCACATTTACAGTCTTGTTTGAATAAGCAGCCAATGCTTTTCAGCTATAGTCACTGGACTTAAAAACGAATATAGTATGTTTTGTTCTTGTTTAAACGTTCAACTAATCTAACCATATTTAACGGAGACACCATCCTTGAGAATTTTGGAGGGAGAGCAGTTTAAAAATAAAACTCCTAGATAGATGAGCTATGCACTGTATTGAACATAATGTTCCTGTTTAACTGTATTAAAGAAGGTTGTACATACCAGTTATCAGTTGTCAATGCAATCAAGGAGCCATGCTTGTAAAAGTCAAGTGCATAAGCATTGAGTAGCTTCTTCCTTCCTTGATCATCATACTTCTCCAGGTAAAGCAGAGGGCAATTTGTGACATTAATACCAAGAGAACGTAAGACAGCCTGAAAAAAATACAAAGTAACTAACTACTCTGTTTTTGCTGATACTTCTGTTGTGTCAAATCTACTACTTCAGACCCATGGCTGACAAGTTCCCTATCTTTGATCCTCTGCTGCTCCAAAAATTTACGAAAGTCCACGTAGGATTCTTGACATAGAAAATAGTAGACATAGAATGTAGTCTTAGCTCTAAGATATTTCCTGAATAATTTAAAGGTTAATTAGGCCACTAGCTTTCTTAAGAAGTTTAAGACCGATGAAGATTTTTTTCCACGCGCAGAGACTATGTATTCAAACCAACTCTTGAATGTTTTAAATGTAAGTATTAGCCACAAGCATGGAACAATTAAAGGATGAGGTAAATTTCAAAACCCAAGTTTCAGGAATTCCCTTTTCCTACTACAGAATTGAGTCTTGTGATAACTCCCTAATGGTACAAAGCCTAGGTAGAAGATCACAGTAAAATGCATCAGCAAAAATACTGTTGTTTTGTTAATTTAATACATATGCTATCTAACATAATCACCAAAATCACATAATCCCACCCTTCCTGGTAGGGAACAAAATTACTGAAGTAATAATGGGATAGCGTGCTCAGTCTACTAGGATCATTATTAGGACTACTGCCTGACGAATGAAAACCAGTTCCTGAAGTGGAGAAAAACCAACTGGGGATATGGTTTGAAGCTGAAATTTTGTAGTAACCTCTTAACTCATTTACCTATCTCAGAGTGAACAGGACCCAAAAGCCAAGAACAGAGGCCCTTTTTCAAGAAAGCTAACTATTTATAGTCTGTTCTTTCCTACATCCACCTATTCTGTGTTTCTTTCATGGTGATAATTTAGTGCTACTCAGTGCTGAATTTTTTTTTAGAGATTTTTCAAGTGCAGTTTTCTCCTGAAGAGTGACAGTTGCACATACCGCATTCATGTCAGCTAGAGACAAGACGACTGTAACAGAAATAATTTTTATTAAAAGGCAATAAAATTAATCCCTTCCTCACCTCCCCACCAAATAGCTTGCTTACTTACTTGATTAATGTTCGTTGCATGAAATAAATCCTGATCAATCATTCCAGATAAACATGCAAAAGGTGAGATGGCAGATATGTTTTTGGTGCTGTCCATCAAATAAGATGCTAGTTCAGAGCCACACCAGGCTTTAAATGTAAAATCTAGAGAGGAAGTTTTAAGTACAGCATAAGCTATACAGACACAAGCACCTCTTCACCAATGAATTTTAAAAGTGAGCCGTTTTCAGTTTGGTTAGATAATGATAGAAAATGGAGCTAAACTTCCAAACTTAAATCATTCTTTCTAAGCGTGTTCTTAAGAATATCTAAGCAATTGACTGCAGTATGTAAGAAAGAACTTTCTAGTGGTGAGGATAATGACGTCTAAAT